TCCTGGATGCCTCTATCAGAAAGGGGCGCAACCAGTCCCTGTGCAATATGCCCTTATCAACGGCATACTCTTTCCATCATGCCCTCCCGCCATAAATAATTTGAAGCACGAGGTTTTTGTGCCACAAAACATGACCGTGAATGTGTGTGTGTGTGTATGTGTGTGTGTGAGAGAGAGAGAGTGAGAGAGAGAAATGAAGTGGCTGTCATGCGCTTTCACACGTGTGTGTGCATGTGCATGTTTGTGTGTGTGTGTGTGTGTGTGTGTGTGTGTGTGTGTGTGTGTGTGTGTGTGTGTGCGCGTGTGTGTGTGCATGTGTGTGTGTGTATGTGTGCGTGTGTGTGCGTGTGTGTGCGTGTGTGTGTGTGGGGGGGGGAGCATGTGTGTGTCACATGAGTCGCGTGAGTACGGCACGTCATACTCGCGCTGCTCCGACTAGCAATGTCGACACACTGTGAGCAAGGTCCAAGTCGCGGAGGTGATTTTCAACGCGGCAGGGTAAAACCATATTCTGTGTCCATTTATGGTGAGGGTACTTACTTATAAAGGGTCGTAAAGTTCGCAGCCAGGAGGCTGCGCTATACCCGGCTGCATTTTGTCGCATAGCGAGGACGTCTTTTTCAGGAAATGTCGACGATGGCGAAAGGGGTTTATAGGGCGGTAACATGGGTAATTGAAGGGTGCGGTCGCTGTCGGGGCAGAGACGGTAGGCCGGATGGTCGCGAGTGCGGTTGGAGGGGGGCAGACCAGTGGTCATGAAAAGCGGTCGGCGGACTGTTTTCATGGACGGCGGCCGATTTTCCATTTCGGGCGATATCGCGCGAGGGTGCGATATTCGGAAGGTCGGGCCGAAGTGGGTTTGGAGGTGTGCACAGCAGAATTCTGGCTTGCAAAATGCGTGCTACTGTGAGTTTGCCCTCAAAATGGAAAAATGAAAAACTAAAAAAAAACACAAAAAACAACCAGGTTGTTGCCGTGCTAAGTGGAGCGTGGCGACGTCCCGAGATTGGGCCCGTTTCAAGAGTGGTGTGCCCAGGCCCGTTCACAATCCTTTCCATTCGGTGCGCTTTAAGCCCTACCCGGCGCCCGCCGGCCGGTCTCGCTCCCGAGTGGCTGCGCTTCCGCGCTAAGCCTTGCACGGTACACAGTCGAAAGCAGCCAAATATGCGAAAGCAGTAAGACATAGTGAGGGGGGTGGGTGGCGCCTCCTCTTTTTTCGCACAGACCAGAACACATACAATAACACCCCACAAACAAACGGAGGGATGGGGGGAAGACAAAGGACAGCGAGGCAAAGGGCAGGGAACCAATACCATAGGATGACAAACCACAACACCGTGACGACACATGAACTTAGAGGCACGAGAGGAGGAACAAACAGCGAGGCAGCACATAGGCTGAAACACATGGGGGAGGCACATGAACTTAGAGGCATGAGAGGAGGAATAAGCAGTGAGGCAACACATAGACCGAAACGCATGGGGGAGGCGTGAGGGCACAAGTACAAGTATCGAAACACAGCAAAGCGGCCAGAAGAATAGAAAATAAGAAAGGACAGGCTGGAGGGTAGTAGAGGGGAGGAGGGTCAGCAGACAAACAGCACAAGGCAAGAAACAAAGACCCAAAAAAATAAAAAACTGATGATGATAGATTGTTTCGTCGAAGTTGCACCGACTCATCAGGAGTCTGAAACCTCGACAATCTGGGGAATCTCCGTGTTTGATGGTTTGGGTCATGAACCCTTTGACCTTTGTTGAAGGCAGATTGTTCCCAAGCGGAACATAGCTGCAGCGCGTAGCAACCCTGTGGAGTACCAGGCAACACATTAGAGGCAACACGGCTGCACAACGCCAAAAACTACTGCAAGGAACGACATGGCACGCAGGACATGAAGCGCGGCAACCATATAGTAGTGAAGCACAAGGCAACACAAGCAGAGCAGCCACACTGCAAGGGACGACAGGGCGAGCGGACCAGCAACTCGACAACCGTGGAGCAGAGCACAATGCACCAGCAAGAAGGCAACCAACCTACAGGACACACTAGCAGCAAACACGGAAGGCACAACTAGCGGATGAGCAGCACGGCAGTGAACCAGCGAAGCGCAAGGCAACGCCAACAACACGGCCACACCACGCAGCAAACACAACAATTCGCAGAGAGCCACACACGAAGCAAGCGGGACATGCAGCAGGGCAGCGGCAGACGAGGACATCCACACATCCAACATGGAGCAAAGCAGCACATGACCTACTCACATCACGGTTGAACCCCGCAGACTGTTGGTTCCCACCACCCACTGAGCCAGGGAGTCACTCCGGCGAACATCCGTCATCACCGACAGGCAATACAGACATCCCGAACCGGGCGACCCCCATAAGAGTGCAGTAGGCACTCCAAACGGGGAACCACCGGCTGTTTGGCACTACTTAAGGGTGCTCAGTTGGGCATACAAAAAAATACATTGAAAAAATCAAGGGAAGGACATACAACAAAGAAAGACTGACAGACATAAAACTGATTGTGTGTGTGTGTGTGTGTGTG